CCCCAAAACCCCAAAACCCCAAAACCCCAAAACCCCAAAACCCCATAAGAAAAGATCATAAGATAACATATGAAAGTATATTTAAATAATAATTCTATGTATATGCATGATTAATAATCATAAAATAAATGATAAAAAAGGAAGATCTTGAGATAATATATGCCTATTTCAGCAAAATGTTAGTTTCATCACCTCAAAATTCGAATGATAACATTATAACTTTTTATTATAGGGCAAGGAAATCAGCTAAATTCTTACTAAAGTGCATGCTTTTTTCTTTGATAGTAATATTGGAGATATTCTTACAGAGTAGCATGCTATTTGTCCTTCTCGGATTGTGCTTCTGGGTGCTAATATTGATCATCTTTACCAGTCCTCTTTGGATTCCTCTAGCAATCCTCTGGGCACCTGCAGCGATAATCAATGTTCTCGTTTTTAGATACACTGAGGTAGAATTAAATACATTAAAGTCAATTTATATGTATTAGGTTGGAGAGAAAGTTTTCATCGGAGTTGAAAAGACATTCTATTATATGACTTATAAGACCACTCTTTGCCGCAAAATCATTTGGAAATCAATTTATAATCTTTTTTCTTGGTATGATAAAGCATTATAACAATCATATAATACTTCATAGGTATTTCTCAAATGAGACAAAAATGTCAAGTTTTAATTGTGGATATGCTCTATTAACTTAGACTGGGGAATCCATTAAATTGGTTGCAAAAAGTGATAGGAAAAACCAATTTTAATTTCAAATGTATAACTTTGCAGCCATTGGTATGGAATCTTTTAATCTTAAATGTGCTATGTTCTAGGCATTAAAAATCTTGAAGGATTATCAGGTAGAAAGATATTAGATCTAGGAAGTGGACGAGGAGGTGGGTTAGCCTTCTTGACTAAATACTATGAGCCTGAAGAAGCATTTGGTGTTGATTTCAGCTAATACAATACCAAATTTTCACTAAAGAAGCATTAAAATCTTGATAATCTTTTTTTTCATCAGGTAAGTTTATTTTATAACAAGTTATGGCATATCTTTATTGATAATTATGACATTAAAGATTTATCTAATACTTACGTAATTGAAAATAGGGTGACGCAGAGAAACTTCACAAATTGAAATTCCTGAAAAACGAATAATTTGACATAACACTCTGCATTGAATCTTTTCATTGCTTTGCAAATCCACTTGCAGTCTTGAAGCAAGTAAATAGGTTACTTGATAGGGAAAATGGTAGCTTTGTGATTGCAGATATCTTTGAAAAGAAAGATATCGAGAGAACAGAAACTCTTTTCAAAGAATTCTTTGAAATTGAAAAAAAAGAAGTCATTACAATTAATGTAAAGCACTCGATAAATCTTGATAAGCCAAGAGCTGAAAGACTTCTACAAATGATTAGTGAAAATAAATATGTACGCAAGATCATGGCTAACTTTTTGGGATTAGCTGAAGAATCTAAAACCTTTTAAGAGCTAGGCAAGAGTAATGAATACATATGTTATGTGCTCAAACCTCTGTAGCACACTCAAAATTAGCCACTCTAAGATTAAAGCCAATGTTGTTTTATCAGGAGTTGTATTGGATCAGGACGATAGTAATTAAACAGGGATAGTGGAGATGTTCACACTCAATAGTCTTGCTGAATCATTTAGTGAGTATCTTAGAATAATAAACTCAATCGAGGTAAATATCGTTTTACTTCTACAAAACATAAGCCTTATCATTTAATTAAATAATTTTAGATGGCCTTATCAACTTTGATAATCTCAATAGTTTATGATTCTTCGGGGTTTTGGGGTTTTGGGGTTTTGGGG